TATAAAGGACTTACCTCCTAGTTGTACCCTATAGCAGCAAAGCTAAAATCACATAATATCTTCCTTGTAAAAGTTTTATATATCAAATATATATCAATATATATATTATATGAAAGAGTTTTATATATCAAAACAGGTTTTATAGTAATGAAAAAATATTCTCACTTATTTCATATTTTTCTCTATGCCTGTCTTTTTTCTCAATACATTACCTAGTTAATAATAGTTACCTGTATGAAAGTTCATTTAAGTTATCAATATCCAGTCTGTCCTCTTAGTGAGAAAACAATCTTAGTTATGTTTTGCTTGGAGTAGGTTAAAAATACACAGTTAAAATCCTATGCAAATTTATGAATGTGTTTCTCAGTAATGTCTAGTTTGCCTACTCAACATTCTCGTAAGGAAAACACATACTGAGGTAGAGTCTTGAGCCTTGCACACATGAGGCGGGTTCACCACCACTGAGAGACTTTATCCTTCATTTCCATTTCTTAAGTTTTAATTCAACTTTTTTCACCTCACATACAATTGCCTTCATTGTTTTAAATGACAGTTTTGAAAAACAGAGAAATCAGAAGAAAATTGGTCAAACTGATTCTATAATACAAATGTAGTACTGTATTATTTACACAGACAAATTAATGGACTTCTGAAGACAGAATTTAGCAATTAAGACAAGTCACCATTCTTACCTGAAAATGAAAGAAATATAATTTAAATGACATTTTCATTAGCATTATAAACTGTTTAAGGGCACATGAAGCATAGATGAATTAGAATTTAACATGTCAGCTGAAAAGTGCTTTAACAAACTTTTAAAAAAATGGTATAATTTAATGTCCCTAGAATTTGTGTGCCTGCATTGTGATGTACTGTCTGACCATTATTTACAAGGAGAGAGAAAAACAATTCCTGTTAATTATTTATTAATACTAAAATATTAATGAGCATTGCCTAAGAGTAATGAGCTTTCGGATGATGAACCTGGTTGAACCATGCTGCAATGCAGCCAACACAAGGGGCGTGTATTTAGAGAGCAGAACAAATGACTTAACATGGGCCTAAAAGCAGCAATCAGAAAAGGTTCATTTAACATAGAGATGGCACAAGCTTCAAGCAATTGCCTCTACTTAAGTAAGTGTGGGATTACAAAAGGCTATTTATTACAGTCCAAAGGGGCCCTACAGCTTGCTCAAAAACCTTTGAAGAAATCCAACAGTTACAAAGTCTTGCTCACTTCAGAAGCAGTAAAATTTGGGCAGACCCCAAAAATGCCTACAAATGCTTTCATTACAAAAGTTAATACAGTCCTCATCCCACTTTTCCTGGACCTGAATTTTTTCTCTCTCTGCTGCTTATAACGAGCAATATTAGACCTGGTTATTTTCCAAAACTACCTTGACATGCATTTTAATCATAATGAAGTATAATGTAGCTTCACAAAGATATGGAATCAAATGTAAGACTTCTTGTGCTTTAACAGAAAGGGTTTCAACATTAATGTCTCTGAAACTATCTGTAAGTAGTTTGCATTTTTAAAGAAAAGCATTCAAGTATGACAATATTGATGTGGGATTCCCCTCTGTGTTCTGTAAATACCACTGGTTAATAAAGAAACTGCCTTGGCCTATTGATAGGGCAGAACTTAGGTAGGCAGGGAAAACTAAACTGAATCCTGGGAGAAAAAAGGCATAGTAAGAGAGAAGCCAGGAAGCCACCCTGGAGAGGGCCATGAGAACTTTACCTGGTAAACCACAGCCATGTGGCAATACATAGATTACTAGATATGTATACATAGATACATGTTTACATAGATACCCAGATACTAAAAATGGGTTAAATTAATATGTAAGAGATAGGTAATAAGAAGCTAGAGCTAATGGGCCAAGCAGTGATTTAGTTAATACAGGTTCTGTGTGATTATTTGGGGGCTAAGCAGCCAGGAACTAACTAGCAGTCTTCTTACAACACACTATGCTATTTGTGTTTTCTTCAAAATGATGAAAAATAAAAATATTTGCTTCAGCAGAGAAACTATGGAAACTTTTCTTAGTTGTTTACATAAGATTTAAATGTGGTTCCAAGAACATTGAGGTCTATATTTTTAATAGCACTTGGATTATGAATTTATTTTTGTTTTAGGGCAAGTAGAGACAAAATAATTCTTAAATTTTCAATATAGCTGCTAGCAATTTCTGCTATAAATATTGAATATGTTTATGTCAATTATAATGAAAATGAAATATTTTGCTCTAAATTAACTTCAGGGCAGCAAAGGTAGGGGAGGAAGTCAATTTCCATTTAAAACAGAATATTGAATAGATGAAGAGCAGGCCTGAAAGGTAAATGAATTCAACTGACTTAAAAATATCACTCTCTCTTTCTTTTCCTTTTTTTTTTGGAAAGGTATTTTTTTATTGATTTTATTGAGCTATACACTTTTTTCTGCTTCCCTCCCTTCTCCCCACCCCTTCAACCCTCTCCCATAGTACCTATGCTCCCAAGTTACTCAGAAGATCTTGTTTTATTTTATTTCCCATGTAGATTAGATCCATGTATGTTTCTCTTAGGGTCCTCATTGTTGTGTAGGTTCTCTGGGATTTTTTTTTTCTTTACATCTAAAAGCCACTTATGAATGGCTGTACCAATTTTCACTCCCACCAAAATGCAGGAATGTTTCGTTTACCCCAAATCCTCTCCAGCATAGCTTGTCATCAGTGTTTGTGATCTTGGCCATTCTCAACAATTGTAAGATAAAAATCACAGAGTTGTTTTGATTTGTATTTCTCTGATGGCTAAGGATGTTGAGAATTTCTTAAATTGTCGTTCAGCCATTTTGGATTCCTCTGTAGAGAGTTCTCTGTTTAGGTCTGCATTCCATTATTATTTTTTTTGTATTGGATTATTTGTTCTTTTGATGACCAATTTCTTGAGTTCTTTGTATATTTTGTAGATCAGTCTTTTATCTGATGTGGGGTTGGTGAAGATCTTTTTCCATTCTGTAGGCTGCCATTTTGCCTTGTGTCCGTTGACTGTATCCTGTGTTTTACATAAGCTTTTCAGTTTCAGGAGGTCCCTTTCTGATAAAATAAAATAAAATAAACAGTTGATTTTGGTCAAAAAGTAAAATCTACATTTTTCTTTAGCATAAAATATTTTATTTTCATTCCCAGGCCACTTGGGATAGCAATGCATTCATTAGAGCTGAAGTTAATATTGGGATCTTACAAACAAAAGAAAGGGGAGAGTGGAAATGTATTGTAACAAATGATAACTGAAGGGGTGCAAGTGATGGCTAAGAAGGAAAGCTCTACTTTTAGAAAAGTTATAACTATGCAAGGCACTTGGAGACAGGGAAAGTTTGAAAGAAAACCTGAATATAAAAGTTGTCATGTGGTGACAGAAACATCTAATTAAGAACCAATACAAGTGAATGCCTTTAATCCTCACTCAGGAGACAGAGGCAGGTAGATGAGTTTGAGGCCAGCCTGGTCTACAAATCGAGTTCCAGGACATGCTTTAAAGCTATAGAGAAACCATATTTCAAAAATCAAACAAACAAACAAACAAAAGATCAATATGTAATCTAGTGATATTCACTCATATGGGAAGAAAAAAATCAAATAGTGCTTTATTTCGTAAGAATTGCTGTGAATTTATAGTTTCTTTTTTTTATTATTTGTGAGTATAATTCCAGTGACTTGAAACATCTAATTCAGCTAACAAACGAGGTTATAATGACAGAAAAGCCCTATTTTGATCTTTCTTGGATGATGTTAGAAAATTTTCTTCAAAAACAAATAATATAGGTCCAGCATTTATTTAATTTTTATTCAAATTATACATCGTGGTAATCAATGTATTGGTGAGGGCAAGTTTCCATTTTTTGAGTTAAGTGAAGCAATAAATTTAAAAAGAAAGAATATAAAAATGTAGCAGTTTTGTAAGCCTGAGTAAACAAGGATTCTGGACACGACTGATATCATAAAGTTGCTAAAATAATTAAAAATTGTTTCATTCATGATGAAATGACTTCAGTAGCTAGTGCATCTAAAACTCTCTGAGTTTTTGCTTGGTTTTTATGCACCAATGCAGATTGGTATATTCCATTAGGGCAGAGTGCCATAGCTCCCAATAGGGCATTTCAGTTATCTTATGAACCCAGACTTGATCTAAGTACCTGGGTTGATAGAATGTAATTTTCTTTTCAACAAGAGAAAATCTCTTCAAATGTATTTCATCTTACGTTAGAAACAAAGGTGCCTATATCATATATGGCCTACATTAATGGGTTTCCATTACCATTTCATGATTTAGATAACATATGTGGAATCATCATTAAATAAGGCGATTTAAAATTTATCTGTATAACTAATGCATATAGCAATCTCTTTATATTTCCTATTACATTTTTCTTAAGAAATGAAATTTAAAAAATAGGATATTGGTTCCTGAATATGTATGTTTATTCGTGGAATTTCTGTTAGAAGCCAGGATCTACTGTAATATGTTATGTATCATACTGAATGTATAATGCCCTGAATATTACCAATACCTATGGATATCATGGGACTCCTTGTGCATAATGGATTCCAGTCCACTTCCAGAGCTACGCATGAGAATGTTATCAATGAGAATGAGCTGAAGAATCTGGCATTAATAACTTTGCAACATTATAACAAATAGGTAGTCCTGATGTTTAGTTCCATGTTTTAATACATCAAGTATATTTCACTGCTTCCATTATAGTAGTGGATTGAAAACATCTGCTCACTTGCCAGTAGTCCACAAGCAGCAGAAAGTTTCAGCTCATTTTCTATAGGCGTTCATGCATCAGGGATGCAGTCCAGCTGCTGGAGCAGCTCAGGAGGCCAGATTAATACTCGAGAGCCTTGGACATGGAAGAGAAACAAATAAAGGAAAAGGCAGTGGTAGACTCTGTGCTCTTCGCCTTTTCTCTGTGTTCTCCCACCCCTTACTCTCTCCTCCATCTATTACAGCTCCATCACCTGTCGTGACAATTAAGAAAGACCGGACCTCCAGAAACAGTATTTCTTTATCTTGGCAAGAGCCTGAGCATCCAAATGGAATTATCCTGGACTATGAGGTCAAATACTATGAAAAGGTGGGGGAAAAGGTGTTACAGGGTTGGATTGGGTAGAGGAAATTCCTATTATCTCATGAGCTACAGACACTCATTCAAATAACCCAATGATGCTGCTTATGAGTGGTGGAGTCCTGTTTATAACCTAGGGTTGTGTGACCTTCCTAATTTGTAGGTAGAAGGAATCTAGAAATCGTGTTTTCAATTCCTCTTTTTTTTTCTACACAAAATAGTAACATTAAAGATGTTGCTTCCAAATGTAAGCCAGTTAGTAATGACAATAGACAGGGCATCTAAGTCTGTGCTCATCAAAACTCCTCAAAACTCCTAAAATGTTAGCACTTTTATAGTTGTTCCTCAGACAGTTGATGAACATCATTATTAAAAATATTAAGTAATAAAGGAAAAGATTTTAGGCATGAAAAATTGTGCTTGCATAAATGTAATATATATATTCAATGCACTTATAATAGCATGCAGTCATTAATTTAAAAATAATTCCCAAATAAACATTTTGAATATTTTACTAGAACATTTTACACAAGATCTATCTTCTTTCATGCTTACTTTGGTATAAGGAATAAACAGGGCCTGGTTCTGAGAATGAGAGCAATGATTTTCTTTTAATGAGTAAATTAATGATGTAAAAATAAATTCAACTCTGTTCATTAATGTAGTAGCTCAGATGACATCTAAACAAAATCTTTGGTTAATGGTATCGGTAATTAAGAACTAAAAAGACAGGTCAGTTGGTAAACAGTTTGTTGCATAAGGACCAGAGTTCAGATCTTGAATAACACATAAAAATCCAAGTGTAAACATGTGCCAGGATTCCCTGAAGAACAGCAGAGTTGGATATAGCAGGATACCTAAGGGATATTGGCAAGTTCCTTTCGTCAATCAGTTAACTTCATGTATAGTGAGAAATTCTGTCTCAAAGATAAGGTGGCAAGCAATTGAGGAAGACAATTTGGAATCTGTATATACACAAACTTAAAGAAAGGAAAGTAAAGGAAGTATCTGTTTAATGACCATGTGAACATATTCAAGAAGGATAATAAGCTTCCACATATATTCATTTTTAAACAGTACTTGAAGAAATGAGCAGTGTCAGCCATGTAGAGCAATGATTCTCAGCTTTCCAAATGCTGCAACCCTTTGCTACATCTCTTCATGTTGTGCTGACTGCAGCTTAAAATTACTCCATTTCAACTTCATAACAGTAATTTTGCTACTGTTATGATTCATAATGTAAATATATGATATGTAATGTAAATATATGATATGCAATCCAAAAGCAGTACAACATACAGATTGAAAACAGCTGCCCTAGACATAGTAGTGTTTAGGGAATACTTCTAGGCTTTGATGTGAAGATATTCAAACTATTCACTTTTAATCAAAAATAGTCACATTAAGTGGAATGTATGTGTAGTTATATTGAGATAAAAATTTAAACTATTAAAATACTTTATTTCGATATTCTAAAAATGAATATAAGTATTTCCTGTTGGGTATTCATGAGATATTTCTCTTCCACTTATCTCAAAGAGGTATTATATTTATAAACTTAATATTATAATTACTTTCAAGTTACATAACAACTTTGATTTTGAAGAGAAAGTATTTTCAGAAGTATATTATGTAATTCCAAAGACTTAAACTTATTTTTTTCTGTTTTCTGTACAGAATATAAATCATGCCATGCAAATTAGACTGGGAATTTGTACCCCAATAAAGAGATAATCAGCATGACTTCTCTTAGCATCTTATACGTCATGACAAAACCCTAGATAATCTACTATGACAGCATTGGGAAGGTTAGGTGTTAACATGATTTTTTTTTCTTACTTCAAAGCAGGAACAAGAGACGAGTTATACCATTTTGAGGGCAAGAGGCACAAATGTTACCATCAGTAGCCTCAAGCCAGATACGACTTACGTGTTTCAAATCCGAGCTCGGACAGCAGCGGGATATGGGACCAACAGCCGCAAGTTTGAGTTTGAAACGAGTCCAGACTGTACGTATCACTTTGGTTTATTATAAGGAATGGGTGTTGCAAAAATTGCAAAATGCCTGGTCAAATATTTTTTACATTAACCAAAGTCATGAAGTGGAGGTGTATGGAGAGGACCTTTAGCAAATTGCCTGTTCTTGTGGATGTGGTGTCATATTGCTGTGTGTATCTGTGTCCTTCTCTCTATTACAAATTAACTTTATTCTTAACACTGAAATTTTCATTTAACTAACAGCAAATAACAATTTTAACATTAGTTCTGTTTTAATCGTTAATACAGCCAATACATATAAACCAGAGAAAACAACTTTCATATTTTTAAATGTGCATAGAGCATTATCTGTAGCCATAAGCAATTTAAATAGACTATCCATTTCACTCATGGTGGACAAAATTTGTCTAAAATTGGAAAACATTTTCTCAATAACTTTACTTTTCCTGAAATGTATGTATTTGTTATTTTAAAAATCTTCTCCTATAATTAAATTGTTTCAAAGGTAGTTACCATTACTTCAGTGCTAATACAAAATAAATATAATTATAAGTTTTATTTAACAGAATCACAAATGAAACTGCACTTAATTGAGGGGAAATGTAGATGTATACATAAATACATAGGCATGTGTGTGCTAAGAGGGTAAGGCATCCTTAAAAAATTTGTTTATAGGACAAAAGTAACTAGTGTATTATATGAATAAGAATCTATGGAACAAAAAAAATGATATGGATTATTTTTCTATAAGAGATGGTTCATTTTGCCTCTAGTGAATAGGTATCATTTTAATTACAATTGAAAAAACTCATATGCTACTAACAGTTTCATACTGCCAAAGCAAAAGTTATGAAAACAGACCTCAGAGCTGATCAAAGATCCACAGCAATCAGGACCGGATTATCCTGAAAAGAATGACGGGGCCCAGCACTCTGCTGAAGAAAAACCTTGTAATCTCTTCTGACTATTCTAATTTCCATTTTTTTGGCACTTGCATTTTCTATTTTCTAAATATATTTTATCCAACTGTAAAATCAGAATTTTACTGGTATGATGATATTTCTATGCCAAGTAAAAATGCTCAGGGCTAATAGCATGATCTGTATCATCCAAGAATCCTAATGTAATAGTGCTGGGGCTCACCTCCTTGGGTAGTAATATCCAGTTGCATTCATGGATTCTAGAGGGTCTAATTAAATAGATCTGGGACACATATATATGCTTCCACACTTTTGCTATGTCAAAATGTGTTCATCCTGCTTAAATCTTTATTTTCCACATCAGTACAATAATTTCAGCATGGAATAAAATGAGAAGACTACACCAACTGGCAATCTAATAATGAATGGTCAGCCCTGAAAGCATATGCATAGGTAATCCTCTGCAAACCAGGCAGGTTATATTTGGAAATATATATGCATATGCATAAATGCATGCAACAACAATTCACAAATGATAGAGGCTACGAATTTGAAAAAGATCTAAGGGTATGCTTTGCAAGAAATAAGGGAAAGGGAAAATTATGTTAAAGACATTATAATTTCTAAAATAAACGAAAAATGTGATGTGATGAGAAAAATCAAAGAATCTGATTTGTAGAGAAGTGCAGTCAAATTGAATTCTTGAGAAATGTAATACTTATCAATGACATCAAGGTATAAATTAAAATATTCATTTATATATGGTATTCGTGTAGTTGTTCAGGGTTTTTTTTTAATTTAACCAGTTAGGATGGTGTTATGTTATTGCACATTTTAGCTAACTTCTAGGAACTATATATGTTTTCAGGATTATATTTCAGAGAATTCAGATCTTACTCCTGTGACTGACAAGATAAGAGAGCATTATATCATTTTCTCATTTCCTCTCCTTGTTTCAGTTAGCTATCTTAAATAAACTTGATTATTTAAAAATTCCACAGAAATTTAAAACAATTGCTCATTAAATTTACATTATGCATAATGAAGAGTAGAATTGTCATTATGTGTTTATCAGCATTATGAAGCCCAGGCTAAGATGTTTTACCAGCTAATCACACATCTGTAGCCAGTGGACGGGCATATACATGGCAAGCAGATATGAAGACAAAATTTCAAGAGTAAGAGCTTTATGGAAAGATAGCTGAAACATCAAAGGGGGGATGCACTAGACACTGTGTTGTTTTCTGAGATGATACTATTCACAGTCTCTCCCTGTCTGTCTCTCTGTGACTCTGTCTGTCTCTTTGTGTGTTTCAAAATTTCATCAAGTATTCAATCATTATTTTGCCAGCACAATGAGATACGTAGTTATGAGCTTGCAAAGTGTTTTCCCAGAAACTTTGACCCTTTTTTTTTGAAAGCTTCCAGATTAGGATGCTCATGGATTTTGTGATGGATTAAACTAGAGATTTAGGCTCTAAATCTAAATGCCTGGTTTAAATTTCTACTCAATCCCGAAGGTGTCAGAAACCAAGAGTTTGTGTGTAAGAATAGTCCAGCAGACTGGTTTTGTTGAAGAAATGTTTGAGTGGTGAGGTACAGAGAAGAAAGTCAAGTAGAGAGCAATTTTGAGATTCTAATTATAATGTGGAAGGCAAACGGAGACACAAAATATTATATTAAGAGTATTTGGTGACAAATCAGATGTGCCAGATCAGGAAGATTTCATAGTTGCAATCATCCCCAGTTGTGTCTGTATTCCAATGAATATTTATTACTGAGCATAGAAAAATGAATTTCATAGAATTGTCAAATGGAGCCAAGTGGTGGCAGCACACGCCTTTAATTCCAGTACTTGGGAGGTAGAGGCAGTTGGATCTTTGTGAGTTCAGAGCCAGCCTGATCTACAAGAGCTAGTTCCAGGACAGGCCCCAAAGCTACAGGAAAACCCTGTCACAAAAACCAACCAACCAACCAAATCAACAAACAAAAAAGGAATTGTCAAATGGTATATAATTGTGTTCTTTTGAGGTTTTATTCCTACCACAAGAATAAATGAATGACTGGGAATACAGGGAGTGTCTGTTGGTGATGTGATGTACGCAAATCAGCATTTCAAGACTTTAGTGTTCTTCAAACTTGTATTTACAGCTAAAAAATAATAATTGTACATATGTAGCAAGTATATGAAATTATGTCTTTATTTATATTAACATATCTAACTGGTTAACATACTATAATTAAAAACTATCTTCTTACATGCATCATCTTTTACAGTGAATATTTTGTTTGTTTATTTATTATTTATTTATTTATTATGTATACAACATTCTGCCTCCATGTATGCCCACATGCCAGAAGAGAGCACCAGATTTCCTTACAGATGGTTATGAACCACCATGTGGTTGCTGGAAATTGAACTCAGTACCTCCGGAAAAGCAGTGAATGCTCTTAACCCCTGAGCCATCTCTCCAGTCCTATAGTGAAGATTTTAAATACATAATATTTTATAATAGCTGTAGTTACATTAACATGAGTTTAAAAACTTATTTTCAACTGGAACATGATGCCCAATTGCCTCTTTTCCTCTGCCCTATCATTCTCTCTGAGCTTCTGATATCTGCAGATATCTGCAGATCTTCTAAATGTCTGACTTTTATTCGACTCCTTGTGTGTATGATAACATGATGCATTTGTCCTTTGCTTGGGTGATTTCCCTTCATACCATACCTTCCAGCTTTACTCATACTGCTGCAAATGAAACTTGCCTTTGTCGCTAAATAGATACATCTGGTTCAAATGAAGATTCTTCCCAAGCTCATCTGGTTTCTTACTGGAAACTACCGATTCACTATGTGTAGCCAGTAACTTCTGATTTATCCACTGAGTTTCATATCAATATGGACAGACATAAAAATGGCCACTGTCTTCATATTTCATATGTAGAAATGCAAGTAATATTGATGATGTGAAAACAAAGTAATTTATTGTGAAAGCATAATACATTAAAGAGAAATTCGGTAAAATGTATGAGAGGTGTGTCTTTTTCATTTGAAACTCAGTGAATTTCCTCAGTAATGATTCTGATAGTTTTTTTCCCCCCTCAGGTAAAAACTACTCAGATAAAATCAGTATATAAGATGAATTTGTAGCCACTGTCCTGTAGTCAGTCATGGTGGTAATGTTTGTTCTTATATTGCTTTTCTTCAACCTCGCAGCTTTCTCCATCTCTGGTGAGAACAGTCATGTGGTGATGATTGCCATTTCAGCAGCCGTGGTCATCATTGTCCTCACTGTTGTCATTTATATATTGATTGGGAGGTGAGTTCACTTGGCTAAACTATTGACCTTAACTGTGACCTTCTCATTGCCCTGAGTTGCTTTAAAATCCAAGGACTGTGTACTCAAAGAAGTCATTGAAGACATTAGAATGTTTTCGTTCTAGTTTATTTTTTAATTTTCATCCATGCTTCTTTTATTTTTTAAGGGCGAATCAATCCCACACCAGTTATGTTTTAAGGGGTTATTTATTTTGGGGGGTAAAACTTACATACACCATAAACCGTCAGGAAGGGAGCCTAGTTGCTGGAGCAGGAGCCCGGCGCAGGAGCCGGGACCAAGCGCCGGAATCAAGAGGCCCGAGCCGAGACCTGCAGTTCTTTTTAAAAGAGAAATATACCACGCCCCAGTGTGCTGGTATTTCAGCGGCTACTGGCTGACGGAGCAGAAGGCGCTCCCACAGCACCGTGGGCTCGTGCTTCAGCGACTATTGGCTGAAGCAGCGGAAGATACTCCCGTAGCAATTTTTATTTCTCCATTATTGCTTTGATTTTTGAGATTATATGCTTATAATATTTTCTTTCCTCTTCTCCCTCCAAAGACTCCCATGTATCTCTCCTTCTCTGTCAAAGTCATTGTCTCTTCTTTTCAATGTTATTGAATGCACACAGGTTTATAGATACATCCCCAAATATAATCCGTTTATATTATGTTACTTGTATGTATGCTTTCAGGACTAACAGTTTGGTATTAGTTAACAATTGACGTGTTCTTCCCTTGAAAAGACTATTTCTCTAGCTCTCAGTAGTATGTGTGTGTGAGTTGAGGCTGCCTGGGCTTTCTACTGTCCTATTGATCATGTCTATTGGTATTGTCCTTGTCTAGCTCATGATTTGGGAGTCATGTTGATAAGAGTTAATGGGTGTAATGTCGGATAGTACTCAGAGATATATTCTCACAAAAAAACATCCTGATCTCCACTCATTCTTATCCTCACCCTGAAACACAAAGCACTTCTCTTAGGACCCTGCTCCTACTTTCCACCTTCTTTTTCCAATTATCCCCTCATTCTTCAAATAACCCCAGATTTCCTTGACACTTTCTCACCATAAACACTGGTAACAGGGCGCAGCACTAATCATTACCAACGGAAACTTTGCCCTTTATTCATTCCAACAGTAGTTGTTAAAAATACTATAAACACATTCTAATGCTATTATAAAAACTGAACTGGAGGTGTCTGCTCAGTGGGGAGGCAACTCTACATATCTCCTCATTAGGCGGCCTTCCAGGGTCCCGAGAGAAAGAGGCTTTCTGGGGAGGACTTAGAAATAAAACGTCAGTTATGTTTTCACTGAATTATTGTTTCAGAGCAAAGCTTTATTTGGGGCTCTTTACATAGTCTGAACACGGATAGTTCATTTATGTATTTTCTTGCTTTGTTTTGCCTCTAGGTTCTGCGGCTATCACAAGTCAAAACACAGTTCAGATGAGAAGCGTCTTCACTTTGGGAATGGACACTGTGAGTTTCCAAACTTTGTTTTAACATTTCAGCTTTAACAGTAGATGTTGATTTATGCCTGGTTAGAAGAAGTCTAAAAGTAGTCTTACGAGGGAAAAATGAGCAAATTGAATTTACTTTAGAGAAAGAAGGAAGTCCATAGCTCTACATTAAGCAATTTTCCCGTGACTACTTTTCAGCGTATTTAAAGTGAAGGGTAACCTGTGGTTTATTTTCAATTGATAACTGTCCTGAGTCCTGAGAACTCTAGTCAACTCTGCAGGCCTGAAAGGAAAGCATATCTTAAACTTTTTCTTCCCAATTCTGTGCTGAAATCTAAGTAGGGGCATTTTCTTCCCTCTCTTAACTGCCATGTAAATATAAACAACCATTTATGTGAAATGCCTTACTCCTTTTGTTACACCAACCAGGAAAGAGCTTTTAGAATAAACTGTTTATTTAGAAGTATGTGTCATCCAATTAGTAGGAAAGAGAAGAATTTTTTTCCCAGTTTCTGCAGCAACCCATTCAACCTCTAGTAATAGAAATACACTTTTAGGCAACAAAATGCATCTAAAAAAATGGTGTATTTTTATTTATTCCCTCTGATGTCTGCTTTTCCATACCAGCTTCATTCAGGGAGCAAATACTAATCATTGTCCTGCAGAGGAATGACAAGATCTCACAGAAGTTAGCAGAAAATCCAAACTGATCCTCACTTGCTCTGAAATATCTTCATAGAACTAATAATAAAGCCTTGCAAGCAAGAATTACTTTAGCAGTTGCTGTTGCCTTTCAAAAACGTCTTCAAATCGATAGGATGCTGTTTACAAACTACTATTTCAACATCTAAAAATTATCATTTCAGCTATAACTAAGGTAAAAAAATATTTCCTAGTTCACACGTAGAAAGCAAACAATAGATTGGAAGGAAGAGAAAAGGATGTTTATGAAGTTTATGTATGGAAACAGTGTAAGAATTTGCAGATACAGGAGTTTTATTCATTTCATTGTAGAGTTGCAATAAAATAATCTATGATAAAAACATCAACTTACTTCAATGCCACATCTATGCAGGTGACTCTAACCCAGGTGAGTTAGTTTACCAAATATACTTAGTGAATCATCGAATTATAGAAGAGTGAATTTCTGTTTCTTTGTAGTCTGACTGGCTGATCCATTTGAATCTTGCAACCCGAATCTTGCTTAGTTAGATGTGGATGGTTATCGTGAATACTTTCTATACTGGAATATGCTGACTTAGCTATCATTACAGGGATCATAAGCATTATGAATATGGACTATGATAAATATCTGTCATGAATTTAAGTAGGTTCTAGTATTTTGTTCTTTTTATGACTGAGCTTCTTAAAACAATTTTTAATGCACTATATCTATAAAATAGACAATTTTTAACAAAGAAATGCATATTATCTCAGCTTTAAAATCATAAAGCAACTTACATGCATGTCATAGACTTTCTGCCTCTCAATACTACAGCTGGTTTATTTCAGACCATTTATTTGGTATTACTCTAAAAAACTCTAGCTATGAACTATTCCCTCAAGCCTTGTTACAAATCCTATAATGTTGCTTCAAAAGAAAAGAAATGTGTTTTGCCTTTTAAGATCCTGTCCCCTTGCCCTCACTGCCTGGACATTTTTTGTTCATTTTTTTTTCACTTTTTTTTTTCTTTCCTTAGGGCAATTCATGCTGGTAAAATGGAAATGTAAATTATTGTGTTTGCACAGAATGAGCTGTAAAGTAGTGCAGCTTAACACGTGTGCATGTGTTTATTATCTGGTTTTCATGGCAGAGGCCGGTTACTCTGTATGGTGCCCTTAATTATTGGTGTAAAGGGATTATTTGCATTGCAGCCCAAACCTCCTGGTTCCCAGAACATCAAGGGTGAGCAGTTAAAAATCAACAGTCAACGTATTTAGTGAAGAAAGCCTTTTACTCACGGGCGTGTGCTTGTGTTTATAATTTTTCACCAGTGTCATGTGGATGGAAAATCAATTTACTTTATGCTAACTAATAGAAATGAATGTGGTTGATTTTAAGGGAAGAATGACTATCCAAGTTATATATTACTTAAGGAAGCATGATTTTTTTTCTAGGCATGACTTTAAAAACTCAGTTGAAAACTTTTTAAATGAGCAGAGTATGTATGTATATATATATATATAATTAAATAAAATTAAATATATATTTAATTTTCAGTTATTGCATTTTACCAATTATTTCATATTTTTATAAATTCTAATGCCAGCAATTCTTCCTAAAATTAGTTTCATTCTTCAAATTTAACAAGGTCAAATATTTGTAGCTATTTAATAAAAATATTCAAGTCTGTATTATGTTCAAAATGTTATTTTCTTTCTTAAAGAGGAAAACTAGATTTTTATACTATTCAAACGTAGAAACAGATCAAAATATATAAGAGAATTAGTAATTTGAAGTGAGTATTTAGATGTAACCAAAAATCTAACTAATGATAAAATATTATAACACATATTTACTCCCTGAAATATTGTAATAATTCAACATATAACAGTTTTCCTTAGGTATGGTATCTTAGTATTTATTTTAGGAGCTATGTTTGATTAATATGAAGAAAAATAAGTCTTTGTATCAATTTTTTTGATATCATTCATTTTTATAGAAATAGAGTTATTGTTCCATGAAAGAAATAAGCCTTAAAGAAGAAATACAATATGGAAGGCTAGGTTCACTAACTATTGCTCCACTGTGACGATGGTTTACTTTCACCACAATTACTGGCACTATTGAATACCCTATAAAGCCAACTCAAAAGCCTATTGGGTCTATGTAATCCTTAGATACATGTCTGGGAAAGATATACTTCAATTATAAAGCAATTTTTGAAAATTACAGTGTCTGATTTTATTTTATTTTTTAAATAAAAAAGGTGTTCTTCTACATGTAAGGGTAATTTAAAAAAAGTTGTATCATTTAAGCATCCATGGTTCATATTAAACAATATGATTCATATTATCAAAATTTAAATAATCTATAATGTCAATTTATGTAATGTGACTTTCAATTTTCATTCCTTAATATTGGAGTGTATTCATGGTTTGATCATATTTTCTTGTTTGAAAATTATTTTTTGGAGAAAGATTGTTTGAACATTCCTCAGTGTAATTTTTTTTCAAATTTGATCATTTTTTTCCAAATTACATAATGCAAAATGATGTCAAAAAAATTTACTTGAGGATTCTATGATTTTTTTACAGAAAATCCATGAAATATTCACATTCAGAATATTCAATAAATATATATAATTATATATATATAATTACATGTATGATTTATGCTTGAATAAACTTTTCAGCATAACTATAAGCTTATGATCAATATTTATGTTGATTTTAATTATGTGAAAAGGCACATGGGATTTCAGTCCACTGATAGTATGCTGGTATGCACATAAAATATACAGCTTACACTCAAATTTTCAGTTGAGATAAGTGAACTCAATTGTGAGTAAATAAAACAATAGTAGTAGATGGGCTATGGTAGCCCATGCCTTTAATCCCAGCACTCGGGAAGCAGAGACAGATGAATCTCTGTAAGTTCAAGGTCAGCCTGGTCTACAAGAGCTAGTTCAAGGACAAGCTCCAAAGCTACAGCAAAACCCTGTCTCAAAAAACATAGAAACAAAAACAAACAAGCAAGCAAACAAATAAACAAACAAAACACAGTAATATCAGAGATGTTTTGCTTTTAGAAATACTTTAATTACTCCATACTGAAGCCTTTCTTCTTCCTCCAGAGCATATTCACATCTTTTGATTTGCTGACAGATAATAGATATTGGCTAGTCTAAGGCCTCTAAATCAAAAATGTTTAGTAGCACAGAGGCATGATAACTTGTGATAATAATTACCTTTCCTACTCATGTTCTTGTTACTTTCCATCTTGAGATTTGCATTTCAATGCCCCCTTTCAGTGTTTCAGCAAAGAGAATACCTTAACTTGCTTCCTCTCTATGTTATATAGTAGACCACATTTTTCCACACTTAATACATTTTTTTCAGATTCTTTAATATTATAGAGTAATATTTAGTAGACTAAGGATTGATAAAACTTAATGGGATAAAGGTGTTTTCAGCAAATAATATTATGAATTTCACTTTTTAAAATCATGCTTTTTGTTTTCTATAGTAAAACTTCCAGGTCTCAGGACTTATGTTGATCCGCATACCTATGAGGACCCTACACAAGCAGTTCATGAGTTTGCAAAGGAGCTGGATGCCACCAACATATCCATCGACAAAGTTGTCGGGGCAGGTAATTGACATGCCCACAGCTCTCCTAACAATAACTTGCTAATCATGATCATTCAATTTGGACTAAGAGTGCTACAATGGGAGCATGAGCTCGCTCACTTATAGAGACCTATATGCATTGCTACAGAGACAGGCATTTTCTGATTTCACGATCAAAGACAGGTAATAAAAAATGCACCATTTAGTGGATTGCAGTGATTTCAAAGGTGCCAGACTTACAGACTCTCAGACCATGGCTGCCTTTTATTTACTGAATTCCAGGGGCAGCGGTAGCAGTGGCTAACGGCTGATCATGTGTCACAAAGCTGCCTGCCTACATGGGGACAGCAGGAAAAGAGTGAGTCTTGTGCTAAACAAGACTAGTAACTGTAATTCTTGACTTTCATTTTAAAATTCTCTTTCAAATTCAAATAACCAACAATCAAAAACAAAAGGCTGGCACATTTGTCATAAATACAATATGCCTGTTTTGTAGGAATGTTTTAAATAATGTGAAGTATGTGACTTTAATATCCACCTCGTAGGTTTTGACACGAATAGTCCAAAAGTCCTCTGGAAGTGTTCAGATAACCCCATGCAAGGAAAGAAACTTTTATTTTTGTTTTACATTCAAAGTTATGGAGCAACTTAATATATTCCCATATTTGTTGTGACATATTCTAACTTTAGTTCAGGAAATCAGCTGAATATTCAAATATTGCTCTTTCATTTCTCCCATCCCAAGAAACATTACAGTTATTGACTACTGCTCAGAAATAAGGGCTAGTTCTTCCAAGCTTCCATAAGAGGCTTTGTCAAAATACAGCGTAAGTCATTGCTTTGGAAACACTGGGAAGCTTTTTCTTAAAATAAGGTGAAGTCAGGCAAGGTTAAAACTTCCTAAAGAGAAAACAAGCAATTTGCTGTGGTGTAGCCTGCAAGTCTGTAGGATATTCTGCCCTTTTCTAGGTAAAAACCACTTATTTGGCAAAAAAAGTAAGTAAGTAAGTAAATAAGTAAATAAATAATTAAATATGAGATTCTTTTTACCTTCTTTCTAATTGGTATCAAGGACACCATACTCACGAAACTCATAGCAACCTAAGACCACAAGCATAGCAAATTATCATGGAGTTAACTCAAAAATATGTCAAAATGATCTCTTTCTGGTTACAAGATTATGTTTTAAATATGGTTCAATATAGATCTAATAATTTTTAAAGTAATGGGGAGAGACATTCTGTGTGAAGCAATATTTTGTAGCAATCACTACTGCCATGGAGGCAGAGAACTATATGTAATAGATGTCTTCTCAGAGGGAGCTCGATATACCTATTGGAAGAGTGACAGGTAAATCTTATCAATAACCTGGTAGGCTCCTAATAGTTGAAGGATGTTTTATATCAACTCCATTGGAAAGTTTAAAATTCGGCAATATTTCATGTTCACAATTTTTAGAGCACTTGCACTTTAAGACAACTTGATGGAGAACATACAGTCTAAGCAAACATTTCTTCAGTGAGATTTTAGATAAAACTGGCTATGCTTCATTTGATATTGCTATATTATTGTTCTCCTCCCAGAAGCCTAGAGAACTTTATAGCAAGTGTGTCAATAATACAACAAACCAATACTCCAATAAAATGAATTGGTAGCAGATGCTTACCCTCTCATTTTCAGTGAGCCTAAGTACACAGCCAATTTGGCCCTCACAGGAAAAATGGAAGAGTTTCAGACATCTGAAATTAATCCAATGTTCAACCCTTATATCTGTGTTGGCCTGTTGATAACCCTGAAATAATGCTAGCTATTAGAATAAGGAATGCAATGCCTGATTGATGCTTTTCTCAATTTTCCTCTTGTAGCTTCATGATGTGGTGATTTAAACCATGTCGAGATCCTCAGCCAGTCCATGAATATCCTGGGAATTCCTAGGCAATTTTATATTACTATCTTCCAAAGTGTTAGCTTCCAAACTTGAAAGTGAAGACATATATACTTTAATGGAACTATTTAAAAATAACAGTTGCTCTGTTGATGATTTGATGTCTCTGCGTGCACATATGCGTTTGTGTGTATGCATATGTGTGTGTGTGTGTGTGTGTGTGTGTGTGTGTGTGTGCTGTGTATGCCTGTGTGTATAGGTGTAGTCACATATGCCTGTACCAATTGAAGGAGGAAGTTGACTTTGGATGTCTTCCTCTATTGATCTCTATTTAACTGGCTGATAAATAATCTCTCATTAATCTGGAGTCCTTACTGTGGCTCGATTGATCAAAAAGCTTAAGCCCTGTTCTGGTCTCTGCCTCCACCCAGCATGAGACTGTAGCTTTGCACCACTATACCTGACTTTACCCTGGGTGCTAGGGTTCCGAACCCAGAACCTCATTTTCGAGCAGGCACTTTACCCACTAAGCCATCCACTCAGCCCCATGAATCTTTAATTTTTTATTGTATTTTATTGATCTTTCATATTCTAATAGGTGAATTTGGAGAAGTTTGCAGTGGTCGCTTAAAACTTCCTTCAAAAAAAGAGATCTCAGTGGCCATCAAGACCCTGAAAGTGGGGTACACAGAGAAGCAGAGGAGAGACTTCCTGGGAGAAGCGAGCATCATGGGACAGTTTGACCATCCCAACATCATCCGGCTGGAAGGAGTTGTCACTAAAAGTAAGTAAAATCACAATGTCTGATTTGTTTATGCTGAGTAGATATTGCATAAACTAAATACAATCTTTGAAGACCTTTCATATCCCAAGTAGCTTGGTTGTAGCTGAAAATCTGACAAGGATGAACACACACTTTTCTGACAATAGATTGAATGACAGTGCTGTTCTATATCACAGAAACCTCTGACTTTTGACCTTACTCACTTGATTGAGAGATTGTATTGAAAGGAATTGCAGAGGACAATCTTGTTCACAGGATAAACAATGGCTGGAATTTGAAGGAACTCCAAACTTGCTGTCTTTTCTTATATTACTCACCAGCCTGCTTTAAGCTCTCAAATCTTTGCCCTCTTGTTCTCCTCCTGCCTGTAGGAAAATTATAGGAATCTCTGTGATGCTTCTAAGACTTAAGATTGGGACCCAGACATTTTCTGTTTCTTGGTGGATTTCAGGTAGTTCTGACCTAGGCTTCCAGGTGCATTCCTAGCTGTGCTGGGAAACCCCTGGCTCTGAGCCGTAGCAGAGCTCTGGATTTATTTCCATGATGATTTCTTCAGCTAGGCCAAAGGGATCCTGTGAGGCTGATCTGTGATTATTGGCTCCAGTCCCAAGGAAAACCTCTTGAGAACACACAGGGAATTTTTTTTTCTCAAGATTTTGAAGCACAGGGCAAAGAATAAGTGAAATTGGCAACAGACTCCATACAGTGAATGACAACATATGGCAGAAAATTTGGCATCCTTCAGGGGATAATTCACTGGCACCACATTTCCATACTCTATGGTTACCAACAGATATTCCTCGTTACATTGTGCACAATGTTATTTTTCTGTAACATTACTTGTTGCTCTGTGGCAGATACCTTTCACCAATTTAGGGGAACTATAAAGGTATTTCCTTCTTCATAGCCTGTGGCATAATTAAAGAATACTTTGATTTTCTTTCGAGTTTCCATATGAAATAAATAAAATTAAGAATTTAACAATGAGCCAGGTGGTGGTGGTGCACGCCTTTAATCCCAGCACTTGGGAGGCAGAGACAGGCAGATCTTTGTGAGTTCAAGGTTAGTTCCAGGACAAGCTCCAAAGCTACAGAGAAACCTTGTCTCGAAAAAAAAAATTTTACAATGTGCAATAATTTAAGTATACAGAACATAACCATTCTAAATCTTGTAGATATTTATTTCTTGTCCCTGTAGTCTTAGTTAGCAGTCCATATTACCAGTAATACTAAAATATTCACGATGAAAATATTTTTGTTTTAACAGTTAATTAAAATATTAATAATAGAAGTGAGGATTATGAAAATGAGTGATTTTACTAATCCTTCAGGGAAAGACCACAGTGTTTTAGATGTCCACGATCACATTTCATTGGATTTTCAGTGTCGGTTAAACATGTTCATTGTGACATCTTGATCAACTGGTTGCTCTGTTGGTCTGGAGCCCAACCGGAAAAGTCAATCCACGTGGACTTACACAGCTCTTCTCCTCAGTTTTCACTGTTCTAGTTCCTCGTTTCTTCGTGAAGTGCTGGTTTTGACTTCATACTGCTGTCCGCTTACCTTGTAGCTACCCCCTGCTGCACTGGAAGTGGTCGTTTCTCTTTTACGTTTTCATGAACAACCATACAGAATAAGGACCTTTTCTAGAAGTCACTACAGCTATTGAGAAATACAGTTTTCCATTTTAACTCTATCCCTAAATATGGGGGGAAAACTTGTTTTTATTATCTTCTTTTAGCATGGATTTTCTCTATGCATGTGTGTGTGTGTGTGTGTGTGTGTGTGTGTGTGTTAGGACACATGTGTGTCATACCTAGCACATGTGAGAGGTCAGAGACAACCAAAGAATCTAATTCTCATCTTCTACCATGTGAGTCCTTCAGACCTAACTCAAGTCATCCAAACTGGAGACAAATGCATTTTACCTGCTGAGCTAGCTCCCCAGCCCAGGTCTCATGTTATATTCTTATATTCCACTTACTCTCCTATTTTTTGATTGTTGAAAATATTCCTAAACATTCTCCATAGCAAAGCACCATTTCAACTTTCTGAAACTTTTGCATTCATTTGTTACTGCTGAGCCCTAAAACAAAGGACTAGGTAGATGACACAGTGGTGAGGAGCATTTGCTATGCACAGATAAAAACCTCACTTTGAATAATCAGAATCCATGCAAAAAGCATGGCCACATGTTCCTCTGACTCTAGTGCTGAAAAAAAAAGACAACAGGAGGATTACTGTGTTTGATAAGCATTAAGTAGAGGCACCAGGTTTCTTGAGAAACCCTGTCTCAAGGAAATGAGACAGAGAAAAATAGAGAATACCAGATATTATCCATTGTCCCAGGCATGCTTGTGCACAGTTCCAGTTACCACACTCAAAAACTAAATAAATAAATAAATGAAAAAGTAAACAAGACACCCCTAACCAGGTAAAATATCTCAAAGATGATCAGAATGTGACTAAATTTAGCCCTGGATCAAAACAGGTACTTAAGTTTCCAATGTCTCAGGAATCGTAAATATATTGATTGAAAAAAAGTGCCAAAAGTATATACATACATATATATGTATATATATACATGCATATATATACATATATATATATGCATGTAAAAAAGTCAATGAGAAAAGGGTCACAAATTTGAAAGAGAGCAAGGAGGGGAATACAGAAAGTAATAAAGGGAGGAAAGGGAAAATGGAAATAATGTAATTATATTATAATATCAAAAAATAAAAAGCAATGTAAAAGTCACAAACCAATAAACAAAGAAATGAAGAGTATAAAGGAGCAGAAGAAAAGTAACAGAAGTGAATACGGAGGGAGCAGTGATTCTTTATTGATTTTAATTTTCTCAGAAGTTCAATTATATAACTGATTTCTTCAATCACAGAGTGATGAAGAAAATGATTTCATTTTAGGCTGAGCAGAATCCTCACAATTTTTTCAGCATCTCCATTCAAGAGAGAGTGAGTAAAGGTCCCCATGAAAAAGAATGCTCCTCCTGAGTGATGCTAGTGGCCAGGTTCCATTCTTTCACCAACAGGCATTGTTTCCTTTGAGTCCAGTGTGATGAGTAATAAAAGTTACCTGTTCTGCTGAGACACAAGAACATGTTTACTGCATTAAAAGTTCCACAAAAGAGTGAATATTTGGGGAAATTTCTTTTACATCTAAAAATAGAAACATACTTTGAATTAAAATAACCCAAAGAAACAGCAGCCACATTGAAACATCTAAAACAGTCTCCAAGACAAAGATGTAGGAAAAAGTAAACATATTTCAGATCACAGAGATGTTAAAAATGCAGGTAGCGTATGTTGAGCTTCTTACTCATGTCTGATTCTGGAATGCTCTGGTGTGGATTACAACTACCTCCTTGGAGTGAAAGTTCTAAATTTGCCATATCTCTCTGCTCAAATAAGAACATGAGCAGCTGCCAAGCCCACTCCATAAATACAGCCGCCGCATGCACTGTAAACAGAATAGAGTAGTCGGGTTAGAATTTGATCGGGACCTCCTCAGTGGTATGTTTAAAGGCTGCAAGTCTATCACCCTGAAACGACAGGGAAATATAAACTTTTTTAGAATCAACTTAATATGTTTCATTTAATACAAAATAGAGCTAATCTGCCTCTAAAAGTTAGATTTTCTACTGGCCAGTTTGTTTCCTAAAACTCTTCGACTTCTAAAGCAATTCTGTCTACAAAGTACAGAGACACCTTTGCACGCAGCAGCAGAGTGAGGCGGAGCTTAATGTCCATGAACAAACTGGCATTTACAGGAACCAGTGGATCTAACATCGAATTCTAAGTCAACCTTACTCAGTGTGAGTCCTCTTGCATGTCAGACTGTCACAGGTGCCTCCTCTGTGAAATGAAGGGCAACAGTTCTGTAGCGTTTTCAGACACTTTCCATATCAGAGGAGATTATACAAGGCTAGATTTACCACCTCTGACTAAGCACCAGTCATTGAATTAACAAAAGAAAATTCTGGAAAATAACTCCTTGTTTTTGCTTCTTCTCCCCCCCCCACTTTGTGCTTAAAAGCCATCCTTTTTATTATTGCTGTGAATTGTGTGCTTGGAACCACTCAACCTATGTAACATGCTATTTTTCAGATCATTTTTTGAAAGCTCATTATATAGTCATTACTTTTTCATTTACTTGAGTTGAGCCATAAACAATGTTAATGGTATGGTGCTTACGGAGCCTGATGGCCTTGAACAGGAGAAGGTGATAGAGTCTGTGATCTTCAAAGTAGCAGAAGGCGGGGGCACACTCTGCTCAGAGCTAGGCACTAACATGTGTTATCAATTTTGCTTGAAGTTCAAAAGGATAGAACTTCGTTTCAACAAATGTTTGATATTTCTGCCATCACACCATTAGTTAAATGAAGTTCAGGCTCCAACAATAATTACCACTGGCAAAACTTAACCTAGTGGAATAGAGAAAGAGTCACACTGGATGTGACTGGTATATTTTCCCATTGAAATTATTTTCTAGAAATTAAAATAAAATTATAGCAAAAATAAGATTTTCTGCGTATCTCATATGTAATCTTGCATAATGAAGAATGCTGTGAACAGTGCATTAAAGGATTTCTTTATGTGTCCCTTTGAATGCCCATATTGCCCAAAAGGCTTAGAGAATTTTATTATCTTCACATAGATGAGAAAGACTACTAGAAGACAATGTTGTATTTAAGTGACAATATCAAATCTTCATTATTTCACTTGCTTCTCTCTAAAAGTTTTATCTGTGATTGCTATAGTACTATATTTTGTATGAGTATGACTTTGTCAGTAGCCAATGTGTGTATGATATTTATTTTACCAATAATAGGAATGATTTGTTAGAATAACACATTTTGACAATGCTGATGATGCAATTTATTTCATACAATCACAATTTCAAAGTGACAACTGAAGCAGAACGCATATATTAGCATGCCATGTAATATAATTGGGATGATCTCTATCAGTGTGACATAAAAAA